AGAGAGAGAGAGAGAGAGAGAGAGAGAGAGAGAGAGAGAGAGAGAGAGAGAGAGAGTCCTCGAGCTTATGATCATCATCAGTTCATGTTGTAGGAAAGTTTTCTTCTATCATAATTATCATAATTGTTTTTCACTTGCCACAATTACATTTTCTTGGACTTGTCATTTCCACCGGGCCACACCCTTTTCTGCATTACGTGTTGTTTGAAGTCCGTAGTATGTCTGGCACATTATATGATGTTGACCTTGGTTGTTCTTCGTGCACATTGTTGTTTGTTTGTTTTTTGGTTATTTATATTTATTTTTTATTACGTTGCAAGATTCTTCATGATAGCAGTGCGACTTTGTATTGCTTAACAAGGTCCGGAGAGGGGTAGAGACACGCTGTGTCTTTCTGGCATTGCCTGCATACATCCTACAAATAGTAACCTCAAACATATGTTCATATTGTGAGCTCATCCCTGTGCATGCAATCGACGACCAAATAATGAGGACCTACCAACAATCATACTTGACACAGACATCGTGACACGGATAGTGGCAATACAAAAACACTGATGTGAAATTGTTACGAGAAGTAATGACAACAAGGAGTGAGATCATCCCAAATTTTGTTTGTCAATTGTTCGGCACCAAAAACAAAAAAAGAACACACTGTCGCCTTTGATAGATTTCGATCCAAAAGACCGCGCACCATCGAATACACGCCTGCGTCGTTAACACCATGACACAAAAACTGTCCCTTGCGGATAGGCCCCATACTACCCCCCGGCCCTTCGACACAAGACTACACATAAACCGGAACTTCGTGCGAGAGACACGAACAACTACACTGGAAGGACGGGCTGGCGACTATCTATTTATAGCCCTCTATTTAATGCAACACTATTTAGAGCCGGTGGACGAATCGGGCTCCATACTCATTGACCTCCGAAGGTGATCTGCAACAACTGCCACATCACGCCGGTTCGCGTTCGGTGACATGACCACGGATGTTGATGGCAACCTACCACCACAAGGCGTGGACACACACCTGTGTGGAGGTGTCCGGTATGCATTGTTTGGAACCAAATTGCTGAGGGAAATGGTGACGCTCGCGATGGTCCCTCCTCGCCTACCCCCAGAGCTTTGCACAGTGCTGACATAATCATCACGATCCGACCCTGAATTCTGCAACTCCCCTTCGTACATTGCCAATTGCTGCTCTAAACGTGCCACCTCATCCCGCAACACATCAATCGTCCTCTCTGCAGCTTCTGCTTTGGAATCTGCCACACCCTCTCTCATTGCAGCCTTATCCACCTCCTCTCATAAACGCTTCAACGCCTCCACCATAGCGGACACGCGTGTGAACAAAACACCTCTCTTGCGTGCGAGCTCATGTGCTTGTTCAATCATCCGCCTGTGGGTCAACACGAAATCACCCGCCATGTCCACGACTTTGCTGACGCTGCGAAGCGGAGAGGATGACATCCCTCCTTCCTGTCTTTGTTCCACCCCCCCCCGACCAGATACCAGCAACAAGGCCATCCCGCCCGCCACATGAGGATGAACAACTGTCAGATGGATAGCCCCTGTGCCCCCCCCCCCCTTC